CATCAAAAATCAGCCGAAATCATCATTGAAATTGATGGAAATGGAATTGAACATCTCCAAAACATCGATTTATCGCATTTTGACCGAACATTTGGGCTTACGAAAGGTGTGTGCACGGTTTGTTCCGCACAAATTGACTGACGACCAAAAATTGCTCAAAAATCAACCGATTGTGACCGATTATTTGACCAAAAATCACATTTTAACCATTAACCACTCGCCGTATTCACCTGATATGGCACCGTTCTACCTTTTCGGAAAACTACATTTGGCCATGAAAGGAAACCGCTATGCTGACGTTGATGCCATCCAACAGGCGGCGACCGCCATCCTCACCGCTATACCGACAAATGACCTAAAAATGTCGTTCGATCACCTTCTTGAACGTGCAAAACGTTGTATTCAGGCGGAAGGATACTATTTTGAAGGCGACCAATAAATTTAAAAAAAAAAATAGTTTTCGTTTTTTAATAAAAGTCCTGGAACTTTTGAATTGCACCTTGTAAAATGTCGCCCAAAATACTTGTATGGCATCGGAAGGCCTGCATCTAGGCACTTCATCGGTAGTGCAGTTTTGGCCACCACGAAACTCTCGAAACTAATATTTCACGGTGTAATCTGAAGGAGCATTAGCCCCATAATATTTATCCAACTTTTGTTTAGTTTCATTCGCTGTTTTGCGTCTCAAAAAATAATGTTTTTTGAGAGAACGAAATTCATTTTTTTCCATGCTGAACATGATGCGAAACACGTCAACAACTATCAGGCTAAAAACAAAACTAAGCGCTGTACCAAGTTGAATTTCAACATGTCTACATAAATACAAGTATGAATGGACTATAAGGCGCCATAATCATTTTTGTGATAGTTGCGCATTGTGGTGGTCAAGAAGGTTACTTTTCACCCCACCAAGTAAAGTATTATGCAGACAAGAACAAGCCCTATATTTTGACGATGTACATGCAGACACTCTATGCCCTGGCATCAGGCAGTTTAAGCATAATTGGCCGCTTTTTACAAAATGATAACTCTCTAAAACAAGAGTCGCACTGAAACCTCGACATTTAGAGATATGGTGATCGGTTCCACAAAGGCGACAAGACGGTGTGTATTAATAGTGCATTGATGATTTCTTCTTCATTCCCAAAAACAAGAGTGATTCGAAAATGACTTATACGGTGTCTCTGACTGACCTCAAAGACGAAGCAGAGGTCTTGCTCATAGATGGAACGTCAAACAACTGTGCTAGAATGTCAAAGAATATAAAGCATTTGTTGTCATACACCCGATCTAGACTTTCTAAGGCCTTTGAATAGTTCTCATCGGTCACTTGGAAAGCTTTAACTGTCCATAAGAAGATGATTAAACTTCACAATCTTTGATAATGAGCGGTCAAATGTTGCGCAGCAGGAGGCAATGTGTCAACTGCTTGCGGTTCATTTAATGCAGACAAGAATAACGTTTTGGCACTAATACAAGTTTCCTCCAATGAAGCTCGCTTTGTATTATCTGGGTCGTTTGACAATGGAGTCAATCTCTGAACAACTTGGTAAGTTGGTCACTAAGGCCAGAATTTGACAGAGTGTCGTCTAATTTGTTGGTCTAATTTTTATAATTTTTCTAATTTATTATTTCAAATTTGTGAGGGCACAGACCACTGTGCATATATACATAAAAGCAAATTCAGCTCGAACAAGTTTCAGCTGTCAGCTGAGTTTATTATTTTGATTTATTTATTAGAATGCAAAGGCAAACTGATATGAATGAATGAGTATACACACTTACAACTCAGTAGCATTCAGTCGAAACTTAGAAAAACGAATTGAATGGAGTGAGAAATACGAAAATTAACAACAAAAAAATGACAACCCGCTAAAGAAGAACTGTAGTCAATAAAATGGATTCTATTTATATTTTCATTTGTATTTATTTTACTTATTCCTAACATAACAACATATTTATTGTATATTAGAATTTAAAACAAGTAAAAAAGCTAAAGTCGGGTGTCCCGACTTTGAAATACTCTGTACATATGTTTACAATAATTATAGAAAATAAAAAAAATTAAGAAAATAAAAAAAAAAATTTGATCGATTTTACCTCTCTCGGTATTCGAACTCACGTAAAGGGTGTATAATTGCACATTTACATAGCAATTGCGTCTGTGTGAGTGTATGTATGCCTATGCGCATCAATTCGTGACTGTGTAAGCATTTTCGCAGTCAACCAAACAGCAACATCAACAACAGCCGCGGGCAGCGCTTGAGCAGCGCTGCAGCAGCGCTGCATCAGCAAATATATTTATGGCTATAACTTCTTGTTAAATCGGTCTATCATAATGAAATTTGGCATACGGACACATAATAACTAACTGGGGGTATTTGCAAAATTTTAGTTCGAAATTCCAAGAATTACGGGAGTTACGATTTGCGGGGTAGAGGGGGGAGGGAGGGGAATTCCAAAATATACATTTTCTGCGTATTCACATAAGGCATCTGGGACTAAAATTTGGTGTTCCTAGGTCTTATAGTCTCCGAGATATAGGCGATTATACGAATGGAAAATCGGGAAAACCCCCATAGGGGGGAAGTGGGGGGGAAAATCAAAAAAATAAAACAAACTCGTATAGAATACACACATAACGCATCTTCGTGCAAAATTTGGTGTCTCTATCTCTTATAGTCTCTGAGATCTAGGTGTTCATACGGACGGACAGACGGACAGACGGACAGACGGACAGACGGACAGACAGACAGACAGGGCTAGATCGACTCGTCTCGTCATGCTGATCAAGAATATATATACTTTGTGGGGTCTGCCACGCCTCCTTCTGCCTGTTACATTTTTCAGCTCCCGCAAACCTAATATACTCTTGTACATTTCATGTACAGAGTATAAACATTATCTGGTTAATTTTGTCAGGATTGGTGGCTAATAGACAACGTTTTTCTACTATTAAATTTCTAGCGTTAGAAAATGTGCGCTTCGAAACCGCGCCACTCGCTGGAATGCAAAATATTTTTCAGCTGGTTTTGTGTAATTTCATGCATATTCCACCAAGCCAAAGCATTAAAACCAGTTGTGTATGCCACATTAATAGTCGGCTTCTTTTATCCCTCCATCCATATTTGCTTCGTGATGCGCCTATACGATTTCGTCGAACACTAAGCAGCAAATGACTGAGCAGATTTTACAATAATTAGAGTAGAGTAACTCGAATAAATCGAATGTTTTCCGAGATGTCAATTATTTCCTTCCGTTTTACGTTTCATTTATTCTAACTCATTTCAATGAATGTCGTATGCTATGAGACACAAGACGCACTCATATTCATACAAATTCATTTCATTTTCAATGTTTCACTTACTCAACTCAATTCGATTCCATTCTTTTCAACATACCTTATGAGTGAAGCCATGCAGCTGTCCAGCGCGCACCCACGCATAAGCCGTTGCTGCAAGCGTAGGCTGTACGAACGAAATCGAAGAGGGAATGTAGAAGTTCGCACAGCACTAACTCAGTACCATGGTCTGCAAGGGAGCATGAGCATAAAATGGTTGGTAAATGAACTTGGGACTGCGAACAATTTTTAAATTTTCAATCACAAAATTATTATGCATCAAAATGCCGAAGGCTAATGCTTTATTCACGTCTCGATCTGCCTTCACAGAGAGGTATGTCGGACTCCCACCGACTAAACCCCCGCTCCTATTCGACCTATCTCCACTTCGGTAGTGCTTTCGCATTGCTTCAAAGTGTGCTATTCGTCTTATCTCTGCGTCCGGAGTGGGGAATTTTCATACAAGTCTCATTTAGTAGAAGCAGGTCACCTACAAAGGCAGCGTCTAGTTTCCAGTTCTGTTCGCTGGTAATCATTTTTATAGCCTGCACCTAAAGGGTAAAAAGCTATACTAGAAATTGTGTATTTTGGAATTTCCCTCTCTCCCCCATCTCCCACACAATCAGTGTTTGTCCAAAAATTTTTGTCTTATATTCGGTAAATACCAGTTAGTGATTATGAAGCCGTATGCCAAGTTTCATAATGATAGGCCGATTTAACAGGAAGTTATAGCCATATATGTATATATGAAAAAGCAGTGCGCGCAGCTGTTGTAGTTGTTACTGCTTTGCACAGGCACACGAGACATACACAGACACACACAAGCACACACATACACGCATAATTATTCTACACATATGTATGTACAGAGTATTTCAAAGTCGGGTCACCCGACTTAAGCTTCTCTACTTGTTTTCTTGTAAACTATGTGATCAAAGATTCAACAATTTGAGCAGGACTTAGGTTTTGCTTAGTTGCCAAGGAGCGGATTAGACATTTTTGGTCTTCCCAAACGTTAGTATTGCCTTGGTTGCAGACTTTTTGCCATAACTTTCTTCAATTTCAAAAAATTTTGAATTACTTTCTCTGATCGATTGATTTTCTTTGCAATTTGACAATTTTTAAGTCCACTGTCCTTATACGCAGCAATTGACGCCTTTTCAACTTTAGTCAAATACTTCCGTTTAGACATGACTCGAAAAAAAGCAAAAAGTCTATATCATTTAAATTACGTATATAAAAGCAAAAAATCTGCAAAATAGCGCTATTCAATTAAGAATTGCAGGCAAAATTTTATTTACCACACTTTTTTCGGCTAAACGAACTTCGCAGTAAATTCAAGAATTTTTTAATGCTTCCACACAAAACGTCGCTCAGATGCAAGTTTACGCATGCATTCAAATGAATGAAAATAGAAATGCTATGTGTATATACTAAGTTGTTATATCGTAAAACATGTGCTTTGGAAGATCTGTTATACAAAAACATCGAAAATAAGCAAAGAATAACATTCGGTTAAACGAACTTCACACTGTACATACATATACATTGACCCGTCTTGTCATGCTATTCAATACTTTGTGGAGTCTGAGTGTTTTAGATACATTCGCAATAAACTAGTGTATGTAAACCATGATTGAAAGTTAAGACATAATCAAAATAAATCTTTAAAGTATGTAATAATTTTAATCAGATTTTCTTTACAAATATTGTAAAATTTGACATACACAAAAACTTAAAACAACTTGAACAAACATGAATCCTTTTTATAAGTTACTATGTTTGGGCACAATTATACATATACATACGTGAACTTTTCTGATTTTTTATAAATATACATTAGAACATCTCGCATTCTATATGTCGAACTCATATTAATCTATTTAATTCTTTTACAATTTTAGTTATACGTGGGAAAACATTATTTTGTATAAAGTATGACTTTACTCTATGTAAATTTACTTTATTATATAATGAATATTATACTTATCGGCTCGGAATATTACAAACAATTCTTAAGTTTTTTTTAAATTTTATTTTAAAATTTAACTCACACTGCTCTTGAAATAGTTTTGACTATAATTCTTCAAATTGAAATCAATAACTATGTTTCCATGGAATTACTTGCCTACACAACCAGCAGTTTAAGAATTATCGGATCGATACTAGTATGCTCCATACTCTCTGATCCAAATTTGAGATATGATCAGCAAGACTTTAGTTTGTTTGAGTTTCATATGAAAGGAGTGTATTTTTCAAGTCAATAAGATTAAGCAATCCAGACATTGATGCAATTTTAGTATGCTCTATACTTAGTGAACGAAATTCTTTATTTAAATCTGGAAAAGTACAACTTTTTTTTTTCATTCGCTTATCTGCGTTTTTTTCTGGAGAGTAATTTTTTTGTGGATCAATATAAAAATCAACGTAATTAGCTGGTTCTGCAGATAAATTAACATTATAATTCGTATTTGAAGAAGTCGATTTTTTTATATTTTTGGATAATACTTTACTTTCCACTATATTGTTAAAAAACTGCCGTGGTGAATCTTTAAAACTTAATTGGTTATCACATATACATGAGTAATCATCTTCACTATTACTCCTTGCCTTTTTTTGGCCCGACAGTGGGATAAGGTTTAGCAAATTGGTTGAAGAAATAGATTTTAAGCTCACCGAATAATTTAAATAAATGTTGCTTAAAATGTTTGGGCAGGAATGAGAATTTTTTTGGCAGCCAACAGCTGGCGTCGAGACTGATATAGATGAAGTCGCAGAGTTCGAGAAGCAGTGATCAAAATTTAAGTTCTCGGTACTATTTCGATAAATTACGCTCGATGGCACAAAACTGTGACGAAAATTGGCTGGATCCGACCTAAAGTAGCTGTGAATCGATTGCATTTGGGAAGTTTTTATTTTATGTTTTTTAAAGTTAGTTGTTTTATGCTTATGCTTTGATGTTTTAATTCTTAAGCCAGCCCATCCATTAATTTTACTTGAATTAGTATTTGTATTAAATACTTCATCGTTGTCGTTTTCTAAAGATTTTTTTTCCTTTATGACACATGGCATGATAATATGGTCCAGTTGAAGTAGCTTCGCTTTAAAAAACCAACTATCTACCGTTGAGTGATTTGTGCATTTATCACTATCTTCTGAATTAATATTATTTTTCGTATTTGTATTAAATACTTCATCGTTGTCGGTTGACCAAACATTTTGATGAAACATCTCGGATTTCTTAGATACAAAATCATCTGACCAATAGTGATCCGTTGAGGGATTTGTGCAATTATCACTATCTTCTGATTTATTATTTTTTGCTTTAGATTTCGCATTTGATTGAAAACCTTTATAATGGGAAGAATGTGAAGGAAGTATTAGTCCAGTTGGTGATAAGAGCTTTACAGTCGACTTACTGGATTCCCAATCTTCTCCTATACCATAGTTCGGTTGTTCTGGAATTAGCTGATAATAATTACATGCGCCTTGATCAATGTTTTTTTTTGATGCATCAGTGGCCTTGGGCATATTATTAAAGGCATTTGTATTGGTGCTTTTTTCGCACGAAACAGTTACACCATTTTGCCAATGCGAATCGGTTGAACTGGCGTTTTGAACGGACGGTCGACTTAAAATGTGTTGTTTTTTTATGTCATTCGACGAGGTATTATGTGCGGTTGTTAAATTTGGTCTTGTATGCAATTGTTTGCGCTTGGGCGTAGATTTGATCAATTTTGCGTTAGATAAAGAACCCCCTTCGTAACGGTTGTTTTTCTAGAAAAATTGCAATTTTAACAATCATATATTAATGAGATGTTATTTTTTTTACTTACAGAGAATTCTATGAGTCCACCACTATGAATGGATAAATACTTGGCTTTACAGCTGTTTCCATCCAATTTAAAACTTGCAGTAGGTCCGGTGTATTGATTTGAAGGTGAGCTTAATCCAGATGCTTGTAACTTGCGGTCGCTTTCATGGCCATCAGAAATATTGCAAAAATCATTAGTTCTGTCGCTGTCCTTATTATTTACATCGGAAACAGATTCAACCGTCTTGAAATTATTTTCAGCTTCGAATACAATGCATACCTAAAATATTCAGAAGTTAATTTTTAGTAGTAACAAATTGATATGTAAAAAAACATACAGACGAATTGATAACCTCCTCCTTTTTTGAAGAAGGATAAAAAGAAAGAAATGCGACAATCGAGGGTCACTTCTTAAACACCTTCAGAAATTTCCTTCCCCCTCCCCCCCTCTCCCCCGCAATTTTTGATTTTCATAACTTCCTTTTAGATATTTTTTTTTGCACTCTCATCACGAAATACCAACCATTGGCCAAAGGCCAATGATAGCATCAGTACAACGGGGTACACCAAGGTATCTGATAAACAATATTGTTCCAGAAAATCGCATAAAACTCTTGGACCGGGCGGCATCGTCCTGGCCCAACTTCAACACTCTCTAAAGTACATAGTGTCATGGCTTCAAGTAATTTTCAGGAGCTGCTTGAGCGTCAACCGCTTTTTAATCGGCTGGAGAGAATGGAAAGTGATGTTCCTAAGGCCAATCAGCCTATATTCGTTACTACAAAAAACTTTAGATACTTATCTTTGACAGTCAATCAACCCAAAATTGTTGTCAAATGCCCAGCATTCCTACTCGTTAATAGAGAAAAATGTACATTTGCAGTTTTTGCAAGACCAAGACACGCAGATTATTGCATACCAGAAGAATAATTATAGAAATTTAAAAATGTTCCACATTTAAAAAGAATAAATAAATAAATTTCTGTGATCGAATATTCCTTATTTGAGATTCAAACTTTCGTAAAGGGTGTATGTTGTCACATATAAGCATGTGCGTACAGCAGCAACAACAACTGCTGTGGGCAGAACTGGGGCAAATTGTCCTTAGCAGACAGACACAATTTCACTAACTAAAGGTGTTTGCCAAATTTGAGTTAAAAATTCCAAGAATTACGCTATTATGGACAATTTTTAATATCTATCAGAACAAAAAAAAAACACGACCTGTCTGCCTAGGGGAACCTGGATACCAAGTTTGGTAATTCTCTTATACATCCTGAGATCCTTGCGCTCATATAGAGGGACATGGGTATATCGAGTCGTCTTCTACATTGATAAAAAAATATGTATATTTTCTTCTGTGTTTTACATACATTGAATAAATAAGACATGAATAACTAGCAACAAAAATACGTAATGTGAAAGGGATATATTTTTAAAATTTCCTCAATTACCTTGAAATTCTCGGAAAAAGATCTGTGTTCCTTGTCCTTATGCGCGTCGTCGATTTCACATTTTTTTAAAGTATACAAATATCTAACAGTATTGCCATTTGATTCGCAGACTGAAAAAAAGAGTTAAAAATGTTTATACAATATATGACAATTATGGATATTAATGTGAACGATAAACGATAGAGAATGCTACAATCTAGCAAGCGCGATAGATGGATGGACTATAGTATATGTGCAAAAACTTGAATAATTCTAAGAGTTTTTCCAAAGTTTATCATATCGTATTTTTATAATTTTTATAGATTTTTATAGCCTGTACCCAAAGAGTGAAAGGCTATACTAGCTTTGTGCGAATGTATGGGAGTAGGAGGCGTGGCAGACCCCACAAAGTAGCATGCACGCATATAAACACGCATAGGCACGTGATGTAAATGTAGGCTGTTAAAACTGAACATAAACATGTCTTCTAATTTCATTTAATCGAGTAATTAATTAATTCCATTTTTTTTTTTTAATTTTTTTTGTAATTTTTTTTTTTTTTTGTGAAGTTACTGTCGGGCTTGCTTAACTGTAGCGTTCTCTCTTGTTTAAATAATCTTTGAAGCCCGTTTTGGCTGTTGATTGCCAATATATGTACATATATCATAGCGTCCCGCCCCTGGTATTTAGTAAAAAGTTAAAAATTATATATTTTATAGCACACATACACCATTCATTTTGCTATGGTTACTAAAAAACATAATTTGGATAGTAGTTTTTTAATGTTATTATACCAACATACAGTTGCCCAGGGGTAAAACATTCTATTCATAGGTCGATCCCTACTAATTCGCAGGTTTGGACTTGGGACTTGGGCGGGTGATAATGGTCGCTACGCCTCGGTGGCACAGTAATTTCTTTTTGGAGGTTTGTTTTCCTGGAGATTTGATTAAAAACATTCCTCATTAAAAATATCATCTCTATATATATATAAAACAGTTTGTCCTGACTGACTGATTGGTGAGCAAAGTACAGCCCAGACGAAAAGAGCTATGAAGCTGAAATTTGGGCTCAAGGATCCTATCATACCCACTAAGAAGGGATTTTGGAAAATTCAAGCTCCAAAAAGGGAAAACCGATCAACTTAAAATTTTTTATTTTTTATTTTTATAATCTATAAAATAATACAAACAAAACTACATACTCGGATTTTCGAAATTTGTGGTGGAGCTTGAATTATTGGGGATTTAATATTTATTCACCTTTTCAAATGAAAAGTTTGTGTTATAAATTTAGTCCGATCGATTTAAAATTTGGGTAATGTAATCTACGTTTGCGTTCAAGGATTTTGAAAATATACATTTTACAAATGCAGGCAGAACGAACAATACAAAATATCACACAGTTGGGGACTACTAAGTATGCATACACACACACACACACATACAAGCAGCTGTTCGTGTAGTTGCGTGCAAACAATTTAAATAGCCAAATCAAAATGTGAGACACTAATGTGTGAATGTACACACATACATACATACACATCTATGTACATGTACACATCTATATATGTATGTATGTATGTATAGTATGTCTTACACTGACAGAGCAAGAAATGTTAATTAATTAAAAATTTTTTAACATTTTTAAAAGTAACTATACTCTGTACATGAAAGTAAATACCCCCAATTAGTTATTATGTATCCGTATGCCAAGTTTCACTATAATAGACCGATTTAACAAGAAGTTATAGCCATAAATATATTTGCGGCTGTTGTTGATGTTGCTGTTTAGTTGACTGCTAACATGTTTACACAGACACGAATAGATGCACATAGGCATACATACACTCACACAGACGCAATTGCTATGTGAATGTGCAATTATACACCATTTAAGTGAGTTCGAATACCGAGAAAGGTAAAATTGATCAACAATTTTTTTTTATTTTCTATAATTATTGTAAACATATGTACAGAGTATTTCAAAGTCGGGACATCCGACTTTTGGTATTAGGGTTTTCATTAGTAACTTTATGCAGCAACAACAAATTACAAAGAACGCAAATATCAAATAGTTGGGGACATCATATACACACACTCACACACAGAACAAACAACAATTCGTGTCTATGTGTGCGGTTTTCTAGGTACGGTTGAAAAAGTAAAGAGAAACATGCATGCATATGTACATACATATGTATGTTGTTTGATTGTAATAAATAATGTTCTATGGTTTTAAATCAAATTTTTAAAACTAAAAAAAAAAACAACTGCAAGTCATTGGCTCGCGCTTCGTCTTTCGTTTTGATCATTTACGCCTGTTAATTTCAAAGGCAAAATGTCAAAAGCTTACAGTTACCTTCGCTAGGCAACGACTGCGTAAACGATAGTAAAGCAGAAACCGAAAGCGGACCTACGCATATTCTTCTTCACGTTGCGGGCAGATGTACATATGTATGTTTGTATATCATTTGTTCTAATTGATCTCAATAAATTATAAGATGTTATTATTTAAATTTTCTGTTAATTGCATTCAAACTTCGATGGAATTATTGATTGTATCGACGGATTCAACTATAGATAGTTTTCATGCTCTAGCACATAGAGTATCCGACACATGCCCATCTCTAGCATCTCAGCTGTTCGCATATTTACAGCGACTTATCGTTTTAGTGTTAGCTAACAACACTACAAATGTATTCTGAACAAATCTAAGAGTCATTTACCGTTAAGCCTATTTTGCGAGTGTATTCAAAAGCAGAAACACACCTTTTAAATTCACAACCATCATATTTGGAATTGAAGACACAAATTAGTGTTGTATTAAAAAATGTAATACATACTTATATATGTATGTATATAGGCGGATAACGCCTGCATGAAAAATTTAAATGTATGTACATATGAGCGAACGCTCCAATTTTAGCGGGACGTCCCGATTTATAAATCAAAATTAAATGTCCCGCGTCGGACTTTTCGGGGATAACTCTACCGTGCGTACAACGTGCTGAGGAAGCACACAGTTAAGTCAGGACTGGCATTCCGCCCGATGCGTAACGAAGATATGTACATATGTATGTATGTACGTATAAGCATACATAGCACTTATTGTACTATATTTGCTATTTGGAAAATGAACTCTTTAAAAAACTTTAGAGAGCGTCGAAAGAAGAATATCATATAGTAAATAAACTTATAATTATAAGCACATTTTACTTAGCCCAGCAAAGACGGGCAAGACCTGCTAGGAGGAATATAAACTTTTTTATTTTTCTGAACACTCTACATCAAACCAGAAAGGAATGCTAAAGTCGAGGAGGCCCAAGTTTGGTTATTCTAGCTCTTATACTTTCTGAGATCCTTGCGTTCCTACAGACAGACGGACACGGCTATATTGACTCGGCTTGTCATCCTGATCAAGAATATATATACTTTGTGGGGTCTGCCACGCCTCCTTCTGTGTGTACACTCGCATAAAACTAATATACCCTTTTACCCTTTGGGTACAGGGCATAAAAAGATTGGTATATCCTATGTAAATATTATTAAATTAGCAAATTACTGAATCTATAGTTAACACGCTAGCATTCACACACAGCATCCAAGACAACCGCACAGAGATACCCACTTGGCCCAAATAAACAAGTAAAAAAGCTAAAGTCGGGTGTCCCGACTTTGAAATACTCTGTACATATGTTTAGAATAAATATAGAAATTAAAAAAAAATAGGAGAATTAAAAAAATGTTGATCGATTTTACCTTTTTTGGTATTCGAACTCACATATACAAAGCAATTGCGTTTATGTGAGTGTATGTATGTTTATGATCGTATATTCGTGTCTGTGTAAGCATTAGTCAACATAAGCACCAGCATCAACGACAGCAGCGCTGGAGCAGCAAATATATTTATGGCTATAACTTCATGTTAAATCGGTCTATCATGATGAAACTTGACTTGGGACTCAAAAAAATTAAACACACTTGCACAGCGTACACACATAACGCATCTTTGTGCACAATTTGGTGTCTCTACCTCTTAAAGTCTTTGAGATCCCGGTGTTCATACGGACAGACAGACAGACAGGACTAGATCGACTCGTCGCGTCATGCTGATCAAGAATATATATATATATACTTTGTGGAGTCTGCCACGCCTCCTTCTGCCTGTTATGTTTTCCGCTTCCGCAAACCTAATATACTTTGTACATTTTATGTACAGAATATAAAAATATACATATATATTTTTTGTTTCTGTTTTTTCGAGTCATACCTAAAGGAAAATCTTTGACTGAAGTTGAAAAGGCGTCAATTGCTGCGTATAAGGACAGTGACCTTAATAATTGTCAAATTGCAAAGAAAATCAATCGATCAGAGAGTAATTTGGAATTTTTTGAAATTAAATGAAAATTATTGCAAAAAGTCTGCAACCAAAAGCAATACTAAAGTTTCTGAAAAAAGGTCTTACCCGGTCCTTGGCAACTAAGCAAAAATGAAATATCCGACAATGAAATATCCTGTACCAAAATTTTTGGAGTGAAGTAATATACCCTCACAGACAGCAAAAAAAAAAAAAAAAAAAAAAAAAAAAAAAAAAAAAAAAAAAAAACCAAACGCACTCTTGCAGTTTGCGGGCACTGACTTGAAATTTTATCAGTAGTCGTATCAATTGTAGTATTGATTAAATTCATGAAAAATAAAAAAAAATAATAATCTGGTGTTGTTATTAGAAGAGTCCTCTACATAGGAACTTTGATAATGTGTGAACGGCCATGGCATGCTGATCGGCATGCTGATTAAGAATACATGTATATACTTTAGGAGGTAGGAGCCTATTAAATACTGTGCCCAATCCTAAAATATACTTTTTAGCCTACACGAGAAGAAGGAGTTGTACAAGTACCACTCCTTCACAAAAGATACAGGGTGCGCCATCTTTTATGCCGGTATGTAAACATTGAATATCTTTGAAAATAAACAACCGATTTTCAAGTATGACATATTTTTAGTTAATTTGGTTCTGTACAATTTCTTCAGTGTCACTTTTTCTAGCATCTCAGGTGGTATAGCGATGATTTCTGCACGATTATTTGCCTTGAGCTCGTCAATGGTTTGAGGCTTGCTGGCGTAAACTTTGCTTTTCCAATATCCCCACAAATAGAAGTCCGGAGGCGTCAAATCTGGAGATCTGGGTGGCCAATCAATATCACCTTTTTTTGATACCAGACGTCCAGGGAATTTTCGTTGTAAAAACTGAATTGTTTTATTTGCAGTATGGCATGGTGCACCGTATTGTTGAAACCAGTAACCGTACAGACCTTTTTCACTCATTTGCGGGCAGACAAAATGAGCCAACATCCACCGATATCGATTCCCATCAACTGTTTCGCCTTCTTTGAAGAAAAATGACTCAATGATGGTTTTTGCGCAGACACCGGCCCAAACAGTCACTTTTTGATCATGCAATGGTGTTTCATGAATCTCGTGTGGATTTTCCGTTCCCCAAATGCGGCAATTTTGCTTGTTCAGGTTCAGTGTCAACCATTCGAGCAACTGTTTGGCCGTATTCCAAGCGACGTGGACAGTCTGTCGGCAAAATTCTTTGAGTTAATTGTACTTTATACAGAAACAAATGCAAATCGTCCTTTAAAATGCGCCGCAAAGTGGTTCCACTGACGTTAAAATGCTGAGCACGGTGGCGATACGACACATTTGGGTCCTGGACAACACTCTCTCTTTCAGTTCATTGGAACGTCTTGGTCGTTGATGAACATGTGGACGGTCTCCCACTGTCCCGTGCTCAACAAAATTTGAAAACAAACGACGAATAGTGTTGTCAGATGGTGCCTGTTTGTCGCGATATTTTCGACGATATGCACGTTGAGTTAACACAACTGAACGACTATTTTCCATGTAAAGCGTCACTATTTCAGCGCGTTCTTTCGGAGTGAAGCGATTCATGATTAAAATTGTGCTGAACTGAGGTTTTCAACACTGGTCTACTCAAGTCAATTGGTTCACTAATGACAAAGTTATTCAATATTTACATACCGACATAAAAGATGGCGTACCCTCTATTAACACGACATCTTTTAATACGACATCTTAACTCTAACATCTTAATTTTGAAATCAATTTTGGCAGGTACATCCAGTTAGTACTAATGTGTCCGTGTGCCAAATTTCATCATGATAGGTCAATTCTGAAGAAAGTTATAGCCATAAGTAAAATCGCTGCCTGCAGCTCTGTCGGCAGCGCTGCCCGCAGCTGTTGTTGTTGTTGCTGCTTTGGTTCAACTTTGTGCTGCATACATACACGCATAAAAACACGCATAGATACGTGATGTAAATGTATGCTGTTAAAACTGAACATAAGCATGTATTCTAATTTAATATAATTAATTAATTAATTCATTAATTTTTTTAATAATTCAATTTAAAAAAAAAAATTTTTTTAATTTTTTCTTTTTTGTGGAGAGTACAGGCTATTTTACTGTCGGGCTTGCTCGACTGTAGCGTTCTATCTTGTTTTTACTTTAATTATGATTGAAAAAAATTTGATATGCAAATACTTTGATATGCAAATATTTTACTGTCGGGCTTGCTCGACTGAAAATAAATAAATAAATGTTCAATACTTACCAGCAGTTTCCCGTACAAAATATGTGTTAAACCAAAAGTGAAATATTATTTTGCGCGACGACTTTTGTAGTAGTTCTACTTTTATATCACCAGAAATTGTTAAAGATGGATCACTTATGTCTAATACGAATGATTTATTAAAATCAATTGTCCATGCTCCCAGTTGCTGAAATAAATACAAATTAATAACATGAATAAAATAATTAGTGTAGTTGAAATAGCCAAAACAAAATGTGAGGCACTAATGTGTGAATGTACACACGTACATATGTACACATCTATGTATGTATGTATGTTCATTCGTCTTGCACTGAAAGAGCAAGAAATGTTAATTAATTAAAAATTATTTAACATTTTTAAAAGTAATTATACTCTGTACATGAAATGTACAGAAGTATATTAGGTTTGCGGGAGCTGAAAAATGAAACAGGCAGAATGAGGCATGGCAGACCCCACAAAGTATACATATTCTTGATCAGCGTGACAAGACGAGTCGATCTAGCCCTGCCTGTTTGTCTGTCCGTCCGTATGAACACCTGGATCTCAGAGACTATAAGAGATTAAGGCACCAAATTTTGCACAAAAATGCCTTATGTGTGTATATCTCAGAGGCTATAAAACCTAGGAACACCAAATTTTAGTCCCAGATGTCTTATGAGAATACGCAGAAAATGTATATTTTGGAATTTCCCTCCCTCTCCCCTCTCCCATGCAAATCGTAACTCCCGTAATTCTTGGAATTTCGAACTGAAATTTTGGAAATACCCCGATTGATTTTTTTTGTGTCCGTGTGCCAAGTTTCACAATGATAGACCGATTTAACAAGAAGTTATAGCCATAAATATATTTGCTGCTGCAGCGCTGCTCAGATGTTGTTGATGATGGGGCTTTTGTTGACTGCACACATGTTTACACAGAGACGAATAGATCCGCATAGGCATACATACACTCACACAGACGCAATTGCTATGTAAATGTGTAATTATACACCCTTTACATGAGTTCGAATACCGAGAAAGGTAAAATCGATCAAACATTTTTTTTAATATTCTTAATTTTTTTTATTTTCTATAATTATTGTAAACATATGTACAGAGTATTTCAAAGTCGGGACACACGACTTTTCCTTTTTTACTTGTTTTTTTTCTTTGTTTAGTATATTTGGCATTAGGGTTTTCATTAGTAACTTTATGCAGTAACAACAAATTACAAAGAACGCAAATATCAAATAGTTAGGGACATCATATACACACACTCCCACACAGAACAAACAACAATTCGTGTCTATGTGTGCGGTTCTCTAGGTACGGTTGAAAAAGTAAAGAGAAACATGCATGCATATGTACATACATATGTATGTATGTATGCCTGTGTACGTACACTGTTGTTTGATTGTCATCAATAATGTTCTATGGTTTTAAATCAAATTTTTAAAACGAAAAACAACAACAACTGCAAGTCATTGGCTCGCGCTTCGTCTTTCGTTTTGATCATTTAAGCCTGTTAATTTCAAATTCAATTATTGATTGTATCGACGGATTCAACTATCGATAGTTTTGATGCTCTAGCACATAGAGTATCCGACACATGCCCATCTCTAGCATCTCAGCTGATCGCATATTTACAGCGACTTACCGTTTTAGTGTTAGCTAACAACGCTACAAATGTATTCTGAACAAATCTAAGAGTCATTTACCGTTAAGCCTATTTTGTGAGTATATTCATGTGATTTACAAAAGCAGAAACACACCTTTTACATTCACAACAATCATATAGGCGGATAACGCCTGCATGAAAAATTTAAATGTATGTACATATCAGCGTTGCCGAACGCTCCAATTTTGGCGGGACGTCCCGATTTATAAATCAAAATTAAATGTCCCGCGTCGGAATTTTCGGGGATAACTCGACCGTGCGTACAACGTGCTGAGGAAGCACACAGTTAAGTCAGGACTGGCATTCCGCCCGGTGCGTAACGAAGATATGTATGTATGTACGTATAACCATAATTAGTACTTATTGTACTATATTTGCTATTTGGAAAATGAACTCTTTAAAAAGTTTAGAGAGCGTCGAACGAGGAATATCATAACTTATAATTATAAGCACATTTTACTTAGCCCAGCAAAGGCGGGCAAGACCCGCTAGTGACATATTTCTTTTTAGGTGATTATTGCCCAAACAAATTTATACTTTTTAAAAAGGTAATTGAATTACCTTTAATTTCGTAACAGTAATGCAAAAAATCAATTTAAATAAGTCAACTTTCATAATACACAAAATATTTTTGACCATTATTAAATGGAACGGCAATAATATTTACTAATTAAACCTGAGTACCATCTTTTTTATTTTGAATAAAAGTTTTAATTCTTTTTTTAATAGTATTAACTAAATTTAGGCATTCTTCAGGCGTTAATAAAGTCCAACATTTTCTGAAATTTTGATTTTAATCCAGACAGCTTTCTTTTAATGATTACCCACAAGTTTTCTATTGGGCTTAGACCTGGAATTGATGATGTCCTATCTAGGACATCAATACCATTTTCTTGAACCTAATTATCGGTTGTTTTTGCGGGATGTGTAGATACAACATCGTGTTGAAAAGTATTCCCCACAGTCATAAAGCTGTGAAATGAGGTTAATTTGTAAGATAAACTTGTATTTTTCTGCATGTACAGTATCATACACCAGCACCAAGTATTGCTAGAAACTTGGTTAAACGCCTAAGACAACCTTTGTGACATGTGTCCTGACGCTTTTGTATTACTAGTGTTTGAGCATCACCGACAAACACATAAAATGGATAAATTGGATTCCGCACTAAAAATAATAGAGTTCCTCTGGCTTAGTACCCAGTTCTGTCTTTCTCTTGTCCATAGCAGCCTAAAGACATCAAAATTATTTGTTATGTTCAACAGGAGCTGCAATCATACCTTAAAGAAGCCATATTAAGTTCGTTTCATTTTCAGTCGCGTCCATTCATGTTTTACTGTTTTCCCAATATTTTCAGACCATTTTGCAGCTGTATTTCTCATTGTGATTTTGAATTATAGTCGACAAACTTCTTTTTGTCACGTGTAGTCAGTTTCGAGACTCGGCTTTCGTTTGCTGTATTACTGTGAATATTGTCAATCTTTCTATACCTTTGCACTTTACTTTGTACCGGAGACTTAGAAAGCATACGATTTTTTCTTACTTTGCCATAGCTGGCCAAATTGAATTTTTCTATATTTGAAGCTCGACCGTACTCACAAACTGGCTTACCTCGTGCCATCGTGTTCAAAAATTAGGAATCTTATTAAAAATTAAAACTCAAAGGCAAATATTTTTTATAGGTTGAAAAAAACATAGTCGTACCAATTAATAGTGGTTAGGGCTCGTATTAGGCAATGTATCGATTGAATTCTCCTTGCGAGTGAAATAAATATATTTGTTGACGTTCCAATAAGCTCATAACAGTAGCTTTTCCCATTATAACTCTAAAAAAATTGATACCCAGGATACCCAACATAACTAGAGCCATTTATGCAAAAATCAATTTTAAAAATAAATCGAATTTTTCTTTACTCTATACACAAAAAATAAGAAAAAAAAATTAACGAACAATTTAGGAAAACGGACTACAATGGCGTAGGCAGGCGGGCCGGGGGCCGTTGCTCACTCATTATTATGGCGCACTATTTCGCCTTAAAATGGAACTGAGTTGGATGTGTTGAAGTTTTTTTTATTAATCATATGCATAAATTATTATTTAAACGCATTATTTAACCAACTTTTTAATTCGTTCGTCCTCCTTTGGAAAAAGCTGTGTTCAATGGTTTCAAATCATTAATTATAGTTTTTAAAAAGAATAGCAACAACGGCCACTGCAAGTTATTTCACTTTTTTTTTATCATATACGCATTTTAATTGCAAAAGAAAAATGCCAAAAGTTTACAGTTAGACAACGACTAAGTAAGCGCATATTCTGCTACGCATATTCTGCTTCGCATTGCTGGCATATGTACATACATATGTATATGATTTGTTCTAATTGATCTCAATAAATTATAAGATGTTATTATTTAGATATTCTATTTATTGCATTCAAACTTCGATGTATCCATAGTATCGGTGGATTCAACTATTGAAAGTTTTAGCATCGGACGGACAAACGGACATGGCTATATCGACTATATCGACTCGAATGCGGCATTCGTACACATTCTAAGTAAAAACAAGATAGAACGCTACAGTCGAGCAAGCCCGACAGTAAAATAGCCTGTACTCTCCACAAAAAAAGAAAAATTAAAAAAAAAAAAATTTTTTTTTAAAAATAATTATTAAAAAAAATTAATGAATTAATTAATTAAATTAAATTAGAATATATGTTTATGTTTAGTTTTAACAGCATACATTTACATCACGTACCTATGCGTGTTTATATGCGTGTATGTATGCAGCACAAAGTTGAACCAAAGCAGCAACAACAACAACAGCTGCGGGCAGCGCTGCCGACAGAGGCAGCGCATGAGCAGCGATTTTACTTATGGCTATAACTTTCTTCAGAATTGACCTATCATGATGAAATTTGGCACACGGACACATTAGTACTAACTGGATGTACCTACCAAAATTGATTTCAAAATTCCGAGAATTACGGAAGTTATAAGAAAAAACACGAATTGCGGGGGAGTGGGGGGGTGCTTCGAAAAAAAACTCAAACTCGTACTTTCTCGGTCTTAGGAGAATATGGAAACCAAGTTTGGTTATTCTAGCTCTTATACTTTCTGAGATCCTTGCGTTCATACGGACAGACGGACAGACAGACGGACAGACGGACGGACGGACAAGGCTATATCGACTCGGCTTCTCATCCTGATCAAGAATATATATACTTTGTGGGGTCTGCCACGCCTCCTTCTGTGTGTTACATACATGCGCACAAAACTAGTATAGCCTTTCACCCTTTGGGTACAGGCTATAAAAATATGTCAAAACATAATTTTGTTTTCTCAAAAGGAGAAAGTTTTAACTCTTGACTAGCTCTATTATTGGTGCTAAGGTGGATTTTGGGGATCGGTTAGTTTTCCAGATAATTTAAAAAAACCAAGGCATTCGCACGCGACATATATAGAAGTCGCTTTCTCGGCGAACAGTTTTTAATGATTCAAAAATATTATG